TAAATGACTGACTTAACTTTCTGAATTGTGGCATTTCTATCGGAGTGGCCTACTATGGAAGAAGAGTGCAACCAATTAAATATTTGAGTTCGAAGGTCACCATCATTGCCTACCACCAATCTACCTTTCCTTCGTAATTCTTCATTCTGCTAGGTGTAGTGTTTGTGAGAATCAGGGTTGAATTCCATGTCATTGATGATTTTTTGTAGTGATGGGTCTGTTCTCCATGAAGCCTGAATTTTGTCAAGAAGGTCGATACTCATAGTATGGATATTGACTTAACAACATGTAGGATCTTCCTTCCTGGATAAGGCATCTATTGTTATATTTTCCTTACCCTCTTTATATTCGATGGTGAAGTCAAATTCCATCAGTTTGATCAGCCACTTTTGTTGGAATGATGTTGTTAATCTCTGATCTAGTATGTATTTTAAGATCCAGTGGTCAGTTTTAATGATAAATCGCCTGTTCAGCAAGTAGTGTCTCCACTTTTGGACAACAATAAAGACCACTGCCAGTAATTCTTTCTCATATGTAGATAATGCATGTTGTTGTGAACTAAGGGCCCTGTTGATAAATGCATTGGGGTGGTGCTCCTGCATTAAGACTGCTCCTATTCCATACCCACAAGCATCCACTTCCAAGACAAATTGCATGTTGAAATCAGGTAATGCTAGTACAAGAGCCTGGATTAACAAGGATTTTAATTTTTGAAATGCTTGCTTGGCTTCCACTATCCAAGTGAAGTTGTCTTTTTTTAACAATTTAGTGAGTGGTTTTGCAATGCCACCTTAACCTCTTACAAGTCTTCTATAGTAGCCTCCAAGACTAAGGAACCCTCAAAGTTGTTTAAGAGCTATTGGAAGTGGACAGTTTTTAACAGCCTCTATTTGTGAAGGATCAGTTGACACGCCCTCTACACTGATGAAATGACCTAAGTACTCTACCTTGGTGACAACAAGGTAACACTTTCTCTTCCATGCAAATAAGTCATTTGGTCTCATAGTCTAGAGTACCAGTTGTAAGTGTTGCACATGATCTTCAATGCTCTCGTTGTATATCAATATATCATCAAAGAAAACTAGGAGAAAATGTCTCAAGTACTCCTAAAAGATTGCATTCATAAGGCCTTGAAAGGTTGCCATAGCATTGGTTATGCCGACTGGCATCACCAAATACTCATAGTGCCGCCATGAGTTTTAAATGCAGTCTTGTGGACGTCCATAGGGTGCATTCTGACCTGGTTGTAACCTGATCGTAGGTCTATTTTTTAGTAGATGATGGATCCATGCAATTCATCCAAGAGGTCTTCCATAAGGGGAATTGGGAATTTATCATTAACAGTAGCTTTATTGAGTTCCCTATAGTCCCCATAGAGTCTCCAACTGCCATCTTTTTTCCCTACCAGGACTACAAGACTAGCATAAGGGTTGTTGCTAGCCTGAATGATGCATGTATTCAATTATTCCTTGACCATCTTGTCTATGACATCCTTCTACTATTTCGCATACCTGTAAGGTCTCTTTTTCACAAGGTTGGCCTTGAATGAGAGAAATTTTATGACCATGGTCTGGTCTGACAGGTGGAAATTGCATTGGTTCTTGGAAAAAAATTTCAAATTCCCCTAGGATGTGTTGTATCTCTAGTGTAGGAGCAGGTAGTTGGTCATGTATTGTCAGAGTGTTTAACAAAGCACCTTCTTGGTTGCATAATTGTATCATTGAAATATGTACTCCTTCATTAATAACTCTTCCTAACTATTTTCTTCTCATAATCTTCATTCCTTATAGTTGAGCACTCCTTAAAACATGATTTATGTGCCCTGTGCATAAAACTGCATACTTAATTTATCAAAGTTCCATGTAATGTCACCCAAGGTTATAAGTCATTCAATTCCCAAGACTAAATCACAACATCTCAACGATAATAACATCATGTCTGATGTAAACATATTGTTTGTTGTATTGCTCATTTAAAATCTTTGATCACTGCTTCTATATTTAACATGCTCCCATCTGTTACCGTAACATGCATGGGTTCCAAATTATCTATCTGATAGCGTAGCTTCTTGGAAATGTGGACATCCAAGAAGTTATGTGTACTGCAAATGTCTATAAGAATATGCAAGGGTTTCTTGTTGTAGTAACTAGTAATTCGCATAGTTTTGAAGTTGGAGATGTCTGTCAAGGCATGTACTAAAATTTGTGGTCCACCAACGTCAACTTAATCTGAATCAGGAAGTTCTTCCTTGAATGGTGGTTCATCTGATGCTTCTTCCACTTCAATAACATGTAATTGTAGCTTCTTGTGTGTAAGGCTATGAGCCTGTGAGTATGGTTCATCATAGAAGTAACATAGTCCTTTTTGATCTCCTATCAGCCATGTAGGCTAGAGTCAAATTTCTGTAAGGCTTTGCTCTATTCGAGGTAAATTTTGGCTTATTATTCTTGACTTGGTCTATTGGTGTGGGCAACAATGGTTTTGAGTTCACAACGTTCTTGTTGCTTCTTGAATTTAAAGAAAAGGGTTTTGAGGCAATCACCACTGATCCTTGGGGTTGAGAGGCCTCATACATCTTTGCCAATGAGAATGCTCTCCAAACACTATCAGGCCTAAACATGCGTACCATCATTTGCATTTTGTGTTTGAGTCCTCCTAAAAAGAAACTTAATTAGTCGATATTCCTCTATTACTAATATGGAAATTATTGCATTGAAGGCCTTATGATATTCACCAATCCCTTTTTCTTGTCTTAACTTCATAAGTTTCGCCATAGGATCATCATAGACATCTCCAAATCAATCTTGCAACATCTTTGTATATTCTTCCCATGACGGTTGTTGATTTGCCAAATTCTTGGAAATTGTCATGTGCCATTGTAAGGCTTTGCCTTCAAGGTGAACAATTGCTAATCGGACCTTTACATCCTTAGGTGTGGCATCAATTAAGAAGTAATTTTCGCATTGGTACATCCATTGATCGATGTTTTCGCCATTGAACCTCAGAAAATCGATTCTTGCAAGTTGTGTCCCACAAGAATATTGATTTGAGCCTTTGGTACCATTGGAATTTTTGCTAACGGAAGGTGAATGACTTCCTGAATCAAATCGAGTCTTGAATAGGTCTTCCATCTTCTACCATAATGCTTCAGATAAGGAATCTTGAATCGTGCCTGGGAGTTGCATTATCTGTTTATCAATATGTTCAAATAGCTTGGTCTCCAATCATTCTTCCATGCCTGCCATGTTGTGTTGGCTACGAGCTACGACCATGAATCGTCCAGACTTATACCACTAAGAATAGAACTCGGAATTCAATAATTCGAAGGACTATTAGAAAATAAAGACTCTACGTGAAGAAAAGAATCCAAATTTTTGTATTATTGAAGAAGGGAAGATGAGAATACAAATTTGAGAATCAATATATCCCTTACGGGCGGGATTAAATTGCATTATATAGTAACTGGTTATAACTAATCCTCTAAACTAACTTTATCTTATCTCTAATTTTGTAGATAAAATAAGGACCTGATTCTATTTACATCGATCATATTAAAGTGACTACCTACCAACATATGGGATTGACTTCCTTCAACTAGAACCCTAAACCTAAAAAAATGTGATCGAAGAACCTGATCTAAATTTGATCGTGAAGGATACACAAGTTCACCAACTTCAACGTAAAGTAGACTGAGGTCAACAATAAATTATTTTTTACTGATTTTGAACTGGAGAATATAAAGTGTTGGTCAACAATGGACACTTCCGCTAGAACAACCTAAATAAAATCAAAGTAGAGTTTACATTAAAGACAATACACTTAACACTTGAATCATTAATCAAGGATTGTCACGTGACATAACTCGTGAGACAAACTTTCTCACCTAAAATGCTAAAGAGGAGCCATATCACTCTAATTCTTATGTACACCTAAGCCATATACTTATTTAACCATCGGGATTCGGGATGCTTGTAGGTGCAACAACTAGAGCTTGATATCACCACTGAACCGAAATTTTTGAAAACCTAATCTTTCACACGACTTCACAACACAAAAACACACTAAAAATAGTATATATTTGGGCATTCAAATGTACGCATAGGACTTATAATGATTATAGAACTTTAATTTATTTGTTTAGAATTAACTCAAATTATCAAAATAATTTGAGACCATGACGACTGCAAAGTTGGAATTATAGCAGCAGCCCTTATCTATTTCGATATAAAATCATAAGTAAGGTGCCGGTCAATAATACGAGTCTTTGAGTTGTTAATCAATCCTGTACTAGCTAGTCATTGAAATATAAATAAATTCAAATGCTATATATATTGTTACATCCTTTTCTTCTCTTCTTGCAAACTTGAATAAATATAAATAAATAAATAAATTCTGTGACACACGTATGCTGGAACGACTATTTTGTATGATTGCCTAAGCATGCAACGAATATAATGTCTCAAGATCTAGAAACCGTTGAAAACAATTGAATAAACCAAACAAGGACAACTCTTGTTTACAAAACATGAACATGGATCTACCTTCTCTCCCTATGACATTAAGCATAGAAATTTAAAATATTGCTAGTTTTGTATTCTTTCTCCATGGAATTTTAGTCGTGAATATAACAGTTTGGGCATTAAGCATGCTAGATATTGACCAGCACAATTTATATGATGTATTTTGAAGAGATTATATTTCCTAACATTAGAACAACTGAGGTCATGATGGTATAGACCTATCCTCCAGGTATTGTTGAACCAATAAAACACTAAACATGGAGTCCCCAGGAAGATTGAAGCCTTTACTACATGTTACACGTATCTTTTATGAACATCTTATTGTAGGGCAAGATGTCATTAACATATTAATATCAGATTTTTGACCTAGGAAAATAATAATATCACTTTTAAAACATTTGTGATTAAAATTTTATACATAACTACATATAAATACATCAGAAAAACCACTGAACCGGTTTTGAAATAAAAATCCTTTGATCTTAAATATATACATACTTGCAATACATATTCTGTGTCGTGTAATATATATGTTAAGCTAACTAAATAATTTTCATCGGCCATTTAATGAGGTAATGGTTAACTCATCATTTGAAGACATTTGGTCTGAGCTTAAATTTCCTTCATGAATCCTCCTTGGAAAGAAACCTGCAGGCTCTTTTGGCTCAACCAATTCCATTTCACTCCCTAACATTTGAATAACCGAGGTCATGGTTGGCCTGTCGTTCGGACATTGTTGCACACACAAGAGACTAACATGAATGCATCGCAGTACTTCTGATATAACACATGTGTCCTTTATGCTATAGTCAATCAACTGCAAAGCATTTTGCTCTTTCCAAAGTGTCCATGCCTGAAAGTAAAACAAGAAAAAAAAAGTTAAATACTTATGTTTAAACTTTGGAATAAATAGAGAATACTTTATTTGAGTTCTTACATAACCAACAAGGTTAAGATTCCGGTTGCCATGAAAAAGAGCTCTATTTTTGTTCCCACATATTATCTCTATCATTAAAATACCGAAGCTAAAAACATCTGATTTAATTGAAAATAATCCATCAACAGCATATTCTGGAGCCATGTATCCGCTACAAAAGAAATTAATTAGAGCAACAATTCACATGACACAAATAAATAAACAAAAAGTTGTGTAATATAATAAGACAGACACTCACTATGTTCCAACTACTTTATGTGTGTTTCCTTCAATTTGGTCTCCTCCAACAGCTCTAGCAATCCCAAAATCTGATATTTTAGGATTTAATTTCTCATCAAGTAAAACATTACTTGCTTTAAGATCTCTATGAATAATTCTTAATCGTGAATCTTCGTGTAGATACAAAAGTCCCCTAGCAATTCCAGATATTATGTGCAAGCGACTTTGCCAATCCATCAATTTACCTTTCATTTGATCTGTTATTTTTCAAAGCAAATATGTTATTCAAGATTAATAATCCGATAATTAAGACTGAAGTCCAAGAACACAAGTGCACCTAATGTAATCATTCTTCATATAACATACCAAAAATGAAGGAATCCAGGCTACCATTAACCATGTATTCATATATTAGTAATTTTTCTTCTCCTTTAACACAACATCCAAGAAGCTTTACAAGATTTCGGTGTTGAAGCTTCGCAATCAGTTTTACTTCTGTTATAAACTCAGTTATTCCCTGTTCTGAACTGCTTGATAGTCTCTTCACCGCAATTTCTCGCCCATCCTCTAATTTTCCCTGCATAATTTCATTCTTTTGAGAAGATGCATGCCATAAATAATTCATCTCTGGACTGTCCTTTATGTTAGGTGCATAAATATTGAATTACCTTATATACAGATCCAAAACCACCTTCTCCAATCTTATTATTCAATGAGAAACCGTTAGTGGCTGTGGTGATTGTCAGCAGATCAAACAATGGCAGATCCATATCTTCTAGTTGACATTCGATGTTCACTTTTTCCTTTGACTTTTCTGGACAAAGGAAGAAAAAAAAAATTCAAGAATGTTATGAAATACGAGGAGAGGGTTAAATATGTCAATATGCACCACTTGGTTGGGGGAAGGAAACAGCAAATATATTGTGTGATATTTCTTTAATCTGTAGCAAGTTAAAACTCCGAAGCATTAAACCCATATCATATTCATGGCCGTGTTAAAAAGCCAACTATAATATATGGTGAATAATTTACCAGCAATTTTCCTTCGGACTCTGTAAATGACAATAATGCAAAATAACAGTATCGCACCAGTTCCAACAATCGTGGTAGCAAGTATTATCGTCAAACTTTTGTTGCGCCCCTGTTGCTCTTCACAGTTGATTTTGATCAAACAAACAAACGAACACGAAATTAAATCCTCAGTTTTAAAGAATAATATTGAATTTTCCAAAACAATAAGAATGATTAAAGTATCATGGAGAAAGATTAATAATATTCTATACCTAACTCCGAAGCAAGTACCCGGATATATAGATCTTGCCCACCAGTTGGAAGAAATCTGATATCAAATAGTTGGCCAAACCAAATGACACAACCACTACCTTCTCCACTTATGTTCGAATTAGTATAAGCCATGCAAGAGCAATTTTTCAAGCATTTGTCTCTGCATGAATCTAAATCAATATTCTCATCCACCCAAGTATTTGTAGTATCTGGTACTTTCATGCCTTCATATTTGATAAACTCATCAGTGTTACTATCCTTGCAGCTTACTGGACGTATAAGAACACATCCTTGGGCCCAGTCCATTGAGTTCCATTTTTCAGGAGACTTAGGGTTGAACCCTTGCAAACATTCACACATGGGTGAAGCAGAAGTGTTGCAATATGCATTCGCTCCACAAACCCCATAGTGGTCACACTCATCATCTGGTGGCAAAGCTGAATATAACTTCCATGATACATCAACATCTGACCATACGTAATGATCACGTTTTAGTGTAGTTTGGTTAAGAACTAGTCTTGCAATCAAACCTGACTGCTGAAGGTTCCATTTGTAATAAACCTCTTCGTTGTTGGAGACAAACTCGTAAAGGTAAATGGGATTTGGTTTCATTTCTGGCACCCCACTGAAACGCACACCATTCCATGGTCCAAGTCTGTGATACTTTTTGGTTCCATTCATCATATAGATCTCAGGATAAGGGTGAAGAGCCATACCCCAAGACAAGTATGCTGGTGTTGGATCATTGCTACTCTTCGATGCTATAAGGCGACGGTTGAGATTTCTTTTGAGGTCCCATCCAACCTTCATTCCTGGCAACATTGTATCAGATGGGTAATCAAAGCTTTGCCAAAGATATTCCTCTTCATTAGGTTTTGTTGCATTCTCATCATCTCTTATCACAAGATTTCCAGAATCCAAGAGTTCAGCCACTGGATACTGTGCTGCTTTTGGAGAATTTGTGGACCAAACAACCGTGTTGTTGTGGGTTAGGATCAAGTTGCCAGAACTGTTTAGTTTCAAGATGGCTGAGGAATCATTGATTGGGTTGCCAACGTTTGCAACCCAAACAACTTTTTGTTCAAGTGTTTTATTCTTGTACCGAATACCGAGGTAGATTTTTTTGGGATTTCCTAGATTGAAGAAACCAAGCTCAAAGGTTCCACGTGGGGAAGAAACTATGGTGTTTCCGTAAGTAAGGGAATTTGTCTGTGAAATATTGGATGATGTGTCCGCTGCTATGAAAACTATGAGAGAAGGGAGAAACAGTATATAAACTATGATAGTCATAGGAGAAAGAATAAAATTCATTGAGTAATAACTAAGCTTGATAGTTAGGGTTTAAAGCTGCTAATTACGCTGAAGGCTAAGGAAGAAAACTGTAACCGCTGTATATATAGAGAAAGAAACTGGTGCAAAGACAACAAAATCTATATGTTCTACATCAGAAGAAGTTGTCGCCTAGCTAGATTTTCCAATATTGACGTGAGTTATTATTATTTTTTTGTTTGTTCCAAATTGGACTAACGTACGGTTTTTTGTATATATTTTTTGTTTTTTAATTCTGTCATGCTGGTTGGTCAAAGAGAGACGGACGCTATCTGTTACATTCATTTAATTCACTTATGTTAGAGATATTGGGTTTTTCTCAGTCAAATAATCCTTTTTCATTTAATTCAGATTCAAATTGTATTTACGTAAGTGCATGTTTACTCATTCTGGGGATGGGTCGAGACGGTGGGGATGCTGAGTTGAGTAGGGAGTGTAACATTTTGGGATCGTGTACATGTGTAACCAATAATATGCTTCTTTCACAAAGTATATTACGGCTAATTAATAATGAACAAGAAGATGTATATTATGTTATTTATGTAAAAGGCTTATAGGTATTTTTTATACCTCATCAATATATAACATTTTTTTTCTGTTAAAAAAAATGTTTACTCATTCATTCGTAAAGGTAGAAGAAAAAATAATTTTAAAGTAAGTGTTGTTTGGATTTATCTTTTAATGTACTACTTTTTTATTTATATTTTTAATAATATATTTTCAACTATTTTTATTATTACGAGTGTATATTAATCTTTAATTGTACTTTGAGAAATTATATCAATCATATTTATTGAAAAATAAAATATTTTTATTATATAACATTCCCCTCCCAAAAAACAAAAGAAGAAACATTAGCAATAATTAAGATATATTTTGTAAATTAAAATTATTATAATTTTTTTTACCTATTTTCTCAATGTTATGTGTACAAAAACTTATGATCATATATACTTGTTCTTACCAAAGATTAAATGATAAGATATCATAACTTTTTTTCTTGATCTTCCCTTTAACTCACTTTTTTTCTTTGATTTGTCAAATAATAATCTTTGAAAGATATTTATCATCTACCAAAAATTACTCTGATAGTCTTTTTCTTTGATTAATCTCTCATTAAAAGTAAAAGACATATACCTTCCTAATGACCATTTCTTTTATATAATTGATAATAATTGTTCTTTTTTAGTTTTATCATGTTAAGCCAAGGTATTCCAAGAATACTCAGCCAAATCAAACTATAATAAAACTTCGTCAAATAAAATTTGGCTTTTCATTCTAGTTTATTAATTTGAGTTTCAATTATATTTTAGGTTATCCAAGTTTTTAATCGTACATAAGTTCTTTTAGTCTTAAGCTTGAGACTAACATAAATATAATTAAAAGAATATAATGAAAATAATACTTAAAATGTTTTGTGCCATTTATTGACATCTATTTGTCTCTTTATATTTATTGTTTGTTTTAAATTTGCTTTAATTATTTATAAAAGGGCTATCATTTCATCAACTTCTCTTAAATAATACATCACATGTGGCTTTAGACATACTCTTAATAAATGTGTAGATGTATCTTTTTACCCTTAACATTTCAATACCCAAGGAGTACTTTTTCATTGAGAGAATGACTCTTAATAAATGTATATATAAACTTTTCTCTTTTTACTGTTGTTTTATTCTGCTATTATTTCTAAACATCTTTCATTTAGTCTCCATCTTCATTTTGTAAGAGCTTTTAAAGTTTCCTTGAAATTTTGCATCTTACCTTTCTATTCTATTCTCTCTTTGATAGCTATGAGTTCTAATCCTGAATATCATGAGTCATCTGACTATAATAGATCAAACTCATAACTTCTACTATCTCATGAGGTTTTTAATATAGGCGATGAAGATACATATCTTCCTTTTCTAGAACGGTTACTAAAAAACCATCTTCTCCTTCTATGAATTCTTTCAAACAACTAATTGATTTTAAAGAACTTGAAGTTTTTAAATCTTCTATTTCATCTATTATTCCTCTATCTAATATTCATGCTATATTTCACCTCTTCCATCTACAACATATGTTCCTCATGTTATTCCACATCTAGAGGTCCCTTATAATGTTACTTCTTTTGTTTGTAGTTTTCTCATCTCTTCCTCAACTAAGCAAAGTAATAAAAGTCTCTACCTCCAAAAAAAATATCAAGGAAAAGAAAAAGGTAAAACTTGATTAACCCATTACAGTAGAAAATGCCTCTTTAGAAAGTTTAAGTTGGGCGAAAGAAGAAGTCACTAGTGAAAAATTAGTATATTACGTCATCTCTTTAATGTTAGACAAACTAAAATCTAACGTAAAAAGACGATGTAACATTTTTGTAATTTTAGTAAACTTTTTTATGTCGGACCCTACCAAATCTAACGTAAAAAAAAGACGTGAAAGCGAATAAGAGAGTGGGAGGCACACTCGCACGCATTCACTCACTCGGATCTCATCATCATTTTTCTAGATTCTTCTCTGTAAATCCTCTCCCTCTCCTTTTTTGCTGAATCATTTTTTTTGTCTTCTGTAGAGTAGGGTGAACTCTTCGTTACTCATTTGCACACTGTTGCAGCTCATCAAGTATGAATCAAGGTTTCGCTAACACCTTTTTGCTTCGCATTGCTATTGTGGCTATCTGTTCTATTCGACTTTTTGGTTGTTCTATTTGTTCGTTGTTGGCCTTTTCTTCTGGGTTGTTCTATCAAGCAGAACGGCCTGTTCTCCAAGCAGAACGACTCATTCTCCAAGCAGAACGGCCCGTTCTCAATGTAGAACGACCCGTTCTCCATGCAGAACGACTTGTTCTGCTTGCACTCGTTATGTTTTTTTTACTATTTTTTTACGTCAGACCTTGGTAATTTTTTACGTAAATTTACGTCGGTTTTCAAAATCGATGTAAATTTACGTCTCCCGCATTAACATCAGACTTTTTTCTGACGTAAAAAACTTAAAATAACTAACGTAAACTGCTTTTATACTAGTGAGTAAAAAAGTACATTGTTATAACGATGAATCATCAATTCAATCTCTTCAACAATCTGTGTCATTATATTCTCTCCCCCAAAAGAATCTTCTTATTGCTGAACCTTGTTTGCCTTATGAACTCATTTTCCATTTTGTACCTAATGAATTTTCAACATTCATTTTTATGTACCGAGCTTTATGTGATGATCTTCATGTTTCTTTCCCTCTATTTAAACTTGAATGTGACCTTCTAAAAACCTTCAGCTTAACACCTTCACAACTTCTTCCAAATAGTTAGACCTTTAGAAAAGCTTTTCAACTCATTTTAACTTTTTTTTTTTATTTCTTTGATAATGTCTAAAGGGTGTTTACCTGTTAAAAACACTTTGACGATCAAGTTAGTCTTTTTCTTAGATTAATCTCTCATTAAAAATAAAAGATAATTACCTCTTTGCTAATTACCATTTTTTAATATAACTAATAATAATTGTTCTTTTTGAGTTTTATCATGTTAAGTCAAAGTATTTTAAGAATACTCGGTTGAATCGAACTATGATAAAACTCGGTCAAATAAAACTCGACTTTCATACTTGTTTTTGCGAGTTTCATTTATATTTTAGGTTATCCAAGTTATTATAATTATCAATACTTATCTAACCGTACAATACTTATTGTGAAAAATGTGTACGTATTTATCACTTTATGTCGTATTAAATTTTATGTGTAAACAACTTTTAGGAGCATACTTTTTGTGAAAAATCTGTATGTATTTATCTCTTTATGATATTGAAGTTGTTAGGGTATTTGTTTAACTAACTAGTCGTTATGATATTTGAATATCAAGGTTGAAGCCAATGATTGTAGTTAGTTTTGTGGCATTGGAATTGCACTATCAAACACATATCTTATTAATTAATTTGATACCTTCAAGTAAAGATGACAATTATACCGATACTTGGTTATTTGCAAAAACATATCTATATTGAGTAGGATAACTCTTGGAGGAAATTTAGTAGTTCATTCACAAAATTTAATAAAAGAAAATATTACATGTAATATAGAAATTATTTGTGGATTAAAAAGCAAAAATCACACCTTAAAACCTCACGGACTTTTTATGCATATACACAAAAATTCAAACATTAAAATAAAAGAAATAACATAAGGAACAAGAATCCTGTGACCCAAAATAAAAGATCGAACCATAATCAAGACAACATCTAGATATCTATCATTAACCAATATATATATATATATATATATATATATATATATATATATAAACCACAAGACAATAACATTAAGACATACAATGAATCTCTCTCTTTCTATCTAATTAGTACCAATGTATTATAATTTATTTCAAATTTTAGAGAGTATAAACCAATGATTTTAAAATCAAATCAATTATTGAACTAGTTAAAATACTTATTCAAAATTTAATAGTTTAAGTGTAGTTGAACTGTGATTGAATTAAAGATAATAACATATTAATAGTTAATAAAAAAAATATTACAAATATATATAATAGCATAAGTTTATAATTCTAAAAACTAAAATAAAAACATAAATTTATGAATTTTAAAGTATATGCAAGATTTCAAATCAAATCGAATAATAATTAAGTCTAAGTTTTAATAATACACACATCCATATATTTATTAAGAATAATATATATGTTTATATTTAGAATAAAAAATAACAAATTAAATACTTTATGTTGATTTTATTAATTTTTTAATTAAAATGATGTTGTATTAAAAAAATTGTTGACCCGCTATACATGAACAAGGTTTTTACCAATTCATGACTGCTTTTTACTGGTTTTATATTTTGACCGATTTTTCAATTCTTTGACCAGTTTTTATTAGGACAATTTTGTAATTTACTTGATAATGAGAGTGACTGAATGACAGGGTAGGAAAAAGTTTTTAAATTGAAAAGGATAAAAGTTAATTTCAATTAGATTAATGAGGATAAAAAGAAAAAAAAAATAA